GTATATGCATAAGACGTTTTCATTATAATCTCGATATATAACAGAAACTGCTATGTTAAACAAAATAATGTTGTTAACCTAATTTGTTCATCGACATTGCTAATTTTTCTCTAAATATATGAAAAAATATATAGGGAAATCAGCATAAGTAGGGCAGTAAAATAATTTGAACTGTTTTGATTTTATACAATTAAAAATATTATTGCATAATATTTTTATAAATTTTTAAGTGCTCAGTTACTATTATTTTTAAAGTATTCACCAAAAACACTTATTCCGTAATTGTTATCCGGCATTACGTTTCTTAAAATTTATATAGTTTTTATATTGTGTACTAATTTTATGAACATGTACATCCCTACATAATCAAAGTGGATTCAACCTATTTTAAATAAAAATTTTGAATTTTAGATTTCTATTAATTTAAAGCATGAAAATTAAATAAAATTTTAATTGGTAAAATTTACAAAATGGCTTTTTTTTCTCTCTCTTATTTGTTTTTTTTATTCATCTTTTAATTTTTATGTGACGGTTATTCGATTATACTACCAATTATCTACAAGTATAAGAGTAATAAACGTTATACATTTGGATTTATGAATCTACATAAATTTTCAAATTGTATTATGAATTGTATATATACTTACATAGGTATATACGTATATAATACAAAAATTACAACCAGTCTTTAGGTATTCAAAATTACAAGAGTTTGACATATTATGAATTTTAATTATTAAATAAATAAAATAATTTAACAATGACGGATTCTTTTTTTTGTGTTGTTGTTGTTGTTTCTTGAAATAATTAATTCACATAAAAAAATTGTAGTAAGTATACGTATGTATGTACATGTATATGTGTATATTATTTTTTTCTTTAGCGAATCAAGAACGACAATGAAACCAGAAAGAAAAAAACGTTTTCAAAAAAAATTCCCCCTTTTTTATTTGATATTGAATAATATGCACATACAAGCGAGACGGTGCACATACATACGTAATAATATTTATCTGCAATTCCTATTGTATCTTAAGATACATGTATACGTGTGTGTATATAGAGATATAACAACTTTTTTATACGAAACGACATTTAACAATTTTTTAACCCCAATTATTATCATTCTTTATTATTATTATTTTTTTTTTGCTTTCATCATTTCGTAATTTGTAAACCTATTAAAATTCAGAGTAGCTACCATAAAAAAAAAATTAATAGTTTGATATTCATGTTTTGAATCTTCTCCTGGTTGTTGACCAGTTGAAAATAACCATCATTTCTGGTTATCTGGTTGTTTCATTTTGTTTTCCTTTAATAAGAATTTCTGTTATGGTTGGTTTATTGGCCCTATTCACGTTGAATTTTTTTATCGAATATGCATTTTATATATATTATTTTTGAATACTTGCATATAGGGTTCTGTATGACTTGTTCGATATTAGAATTGATGTTAAATATTATGTCTGCTGTTAGTTTTTATTATAAAAGGTGAGTTTTTCATCAAGAATGTTGATTGAATGTTTCAGTTTATTTCAGTATAAGTGCGTAGTTTCTTCATCAAAAGATGTCTTATCTACCTCAAAAACCTTAACATATCTTTAAATTAAATTACTTTGCTAAAATATATGTAGTATGAAGAAATTTTAATTGAGTTAACACTATTAGTGTAATAGGCACAATATTTATTAATTATAAGCAACTACGCGTTGTATTAGTAATTCAAAAATGTTATTAGTGTAATAGGCACATACGTTACCTGTTAATATGTTCTTGTGATTCTCTGTTTCAAATAGAAGATTGCACTTAATATCTCATGTAAACAATAGTGGATTATAGCAGTATACTACAGATTGCATGTAGTATCTCATCTTGTGGATTATTACTGTATTAGGCTGTGAAGAACAATTTGTGTGCAGTTTCTTCATACCTCTGCAGCTCAGTTGCTAGAGCATCCGCCTAGAAAGCGTTAGGGCACTGCTTCGGGTCCAGTTCGAGGAGAAAATTTTTTAAATTTTTCTGCCTTTAACTCGTTCCTTTGATTACGTCATTCATCTGTTCTGCAGTTGTACGAAGAAAGTTCTATTGAGTAAATACCACATTTAACTTATATACTACATTTTCTAGTTTTGATCTTTGTAAAGGTGATAATAAATCCAATTACGCGTTACTGTAGCGAAGCCAATTCGAGATTTGATTGACATTTTTATATCCGCTGTAGGTATAAAAGTAGTGTCGCTAGGTTAACCCATACTATTGTAACCACACGTTAATGCTATGAGCTCAATAAACATTAGATTTCAACAAATTTGGCAGACTATAAATGTTTTCAAGCAATCCTTATAAAGTTTGTTGAACCGATTATCTTGGCTATGCGCTTTGAAAACGAATATTAAACGATGCATTTATGAATAGTGAGTTAATTCAAATATTTCAAAAATTATAATTCCAAATTGATTTTTAACTAATTTTGTTCTGTATAAACGTACCCGCTAAAGCCATCCATTTGAAAAAGAGACTCTATTCCACACATAATTTTATCAAATATGCTTCTAAAGTAAAAATTTTCTCCGAATTTAAGACGTTTAATTTCAAAAAAAATTTGAAGTTGTTTAACAAATTTCAACTCTATAAAAAAGGGCTCTGTTGAGTAGTTTTAATAAACTTTCTAATACTCACATTTATTATAAGGAAAATGCGATGGCTTTCGATTTGTAATTGATAAGGTCCCAAAGGCAAAAATAAAATTCATACGAAACTTATGTATTGTGTAAGCAATCTGATCACTTGTCGATTACATTCAAGTATTTGTCTTGCATATACAATTATAGAATTACTTGAAAAATTTTTCAATACATCATAATGGAACGAACGGAAGAACGTATGGCAGAACAAGTATAAGTGAAATCGATTTCGAATTCGACAATAATCATTAAAATGATGAAAAAATTTGTCTTCTATATAATAATATCCGTCTAGTCTAGTTCATTACTTGTCAGTGTTGCAAATGATATTATTGATTTATAATAACCTGCCAACTTGTAGTTCATACGGGTATAAAAATTAAAATTAATTAAAAATCAAATAAACAAATATTAATAATCGGTTATAAATGATGATTTTAGGACGAAATCACATCCATTTACTTATTTTCTATGTTTTCATAAACAAATATTGAAGATGAATCTTTAACAGAGTTTTGTATTTCTAAACACAATAATAAAAGTGTAAGCATAACTTGTTCAGAATTTGCTTGAACCTGTTGTAATAATTTAGTTTTTGTTGAAATACAATGCGCGTATATCGAAAACATAAAAACTTCTTCTTCAAATCTTAACCTTTATTAGGTGAGATTTTCGAGAATTTTCAAATTAACATTATTCTTGTTATATTTTTAGTTATTATTGTTGTTGGAATACTTTTCAAATATTAGTTTTGATTTTTTTTTCGGTAATACATAAAAGGAGATGAATTTTTTATGCAAATAGAAAAATTCTGAATTAGAGTCAACAATATTTGATATACAAAAAACCAAAAAAACCAGAAAAAAAAGAGAAGAAACAAAAAGGAAGTAAAAATCAATAATTAATGCGGCGATTTTCTTTTATTTATAAAAAAATATCTAGAATTATATTTGTAGTTAATTTTTTATTATTTCAATAATTTAACGTTCATTAACACCATCATTATTTCAATAATCTATACCATTTTAAAGGTGGAAGTTTCAAAATATGAAAATTGTCAGCATAAAAATGAAATTTTAATTTTTTTCGAATGTACTGTTTGTAAAATAATGCCTGTTATTGCTTTAAAATCGCATATTTTTTTATGTCAAAATAATGTCAACGGTAATACAGTTTTTCTCTCCCGAGGACCATTTTCAATATTTAAGATTATGCAATTAAATTAATCTTAAATGCAATTAAGACCATTTTCATAATATTTCTCATGTTTAGAAAAAAAGGAGTAAAATGTTATTCAATTCTTCTCTGTAGAAATTCTTTCAAGCGGAATTTCGCAAGGCTAATCCGGTATATTATTCAATGTCAAATTTTAGTACTGTTTAGAAAATTTTTATACCTAAAAATTAATAATGACGGTTATAGAAATATAGAAGAAATAAATTAGGTGCTGAATATTGAAACAATACCGATTCTTTTATTTTCTTAAAAAAATTTTAAATCAGATCGTTCATTTTTTGGCGCATCTAAATCTACGAAACCATAAGATTTCTTCAAACATCACAATTAATAAAGAAAATAAAATTGGAATCAAGTTCAAACACAAAGTTATAAAAGTAAAACTTGTTTTTCAGTACTTAAATCCTTATTTGTGTTACAATCTTACAAATGGTTTAAAGGATTAATTCCACAAATTCTGAATGTAGGTATGCATAAAAGGTACACTCAATTTTTTCATTCCCGACTAATTTTCTTTTTTTTTGTTTTGCATAATGCATCACATTGCACTTATGTATATCAAAAAATTATTAAAAAATTTATCCCGATTACTTTGAATTTAAAATTCTAAAAATTGAAATAATTTATTCAAATTTACACAAATTGACTATAATTGAGATGCTATGCAAATGTGCGGTACATTCTTTGTAATATTTTTAATACTGAATTATACCACCTTGAAATAAGTATACAGGCAAACAGGTGTTGCAATTTACGCGTTGCTTAAGTAAGAGATCTTATTTATTTGATGTGCTGTGTTTATTTTAGTTTTCAATTCTCAGCCAGCACTTTTCGCTCAATAATTTGCAGTTCATAAATGAAAAATAATTAATTAATAGAAAAATTAGTTATTATTGAATAGTTGACTCATCTTTTCAATTGTGTGTTCTTATCTATTTGGATAGTTTCCAAAACTATCCTTCCTATTCTCTATGCTACGCAAAATTAAATGAATTTTCTTCATATTCAAAATTTGAAAGTTCTTTAGAATCACAGAAACATATGGAAAAATTTTCAATTTTAAATTTAAATTCATTCCAGATATATGAAATATTTATATCCATATGAATGTGAAAAAAAGAATTTAAGTACGCCAGCTGAATTACAAGCAGCTATAGATGGAAATAGAAGAGAAGGACGTCGCTCAAGTTATGGACAATTTGAAGCAATGCATACCCAACTACAAATGGTAAACCGAATTTTTCAACAAATTTTTTTCCTTAATTTCGTATGCTAAAAAAATATTATTTTTGATTTTTGCAGCCTCAAATGCCACGTCCAAATGTAAGTTCTGGTATGCAACAAATGTCACCATTAGCTTTAGTAACACATGCTAATCAACAAACAGCAGCTGCAGCAGCAGCAGCGGCTGCACATCATCGTTTAATGGCACCACCTTTGGGTCAAATGCCAAATATTGTAACGCATGAATTAGAACAAAGAATGATGGAATATTTAAAATTATTCCAACAAAAAGAAGCACGTCGTTCGCAAAGTCCAGAAATTACACCACGTGAAGCATTAAATGCATTGGAAATGTCTCGTGTAGCTTTATGGTCAATGTACCATAATAATACAAGCCCACCATCATCAGTTAATGCCTCACCAGTAGAACCACAACGGTAAGTTTAAAAAAAAAAATTCATACAACACTTTTTAAGATTTGTTTCCACCATATTCACCCTCATAATTTATAAAAAAAATTTATACACCATGCCATGTTGATAAATTTTTTTTATTGGTTTGTGTATTAGATAAACGATAAAATGTTTTTTTTTATTATTTTTGTTTTAGTGAAGCACTAAACCTTTCTGATTCACCACCAAATATTACAATGAAACGTGAACGTGAAAATTCGGAACCACCACATTCCGATAGAGAAGACTTTAACCAACATCCACCTATGAAAAAATCAATTTCAACTAGTTTACATGACTTACCAACTCAACAACAGCAACAACAACAACACCAACATCAATTACACCAACAGCAAACGAATGAAAATCTACAACACCATCAAAGGCATAAAAATAGAAATGAAAATCATTTTGATGATGATGATGATGAAGACCATGAAATTGAACGCCATCAAATGGAACATGATGAAGATGATGAAAATAATGATGATATTAGAATGCATCATAGTAATTTAGCTGATACAAATTTAAGTGGTAATGAAAATGGACGTTTAAATGGACATGTGAATACGATAAAAAAGTCACCATCATTATCACCTTCAAAGCAATTACATAATGGACACCAACAAAATGATGACTTCTCGTTAATGTCAGGAATGCAATTTAAAATTACTCGGAAAGGTAAAAGTATTTCAATTTTGCAAAATAATTACATGTGAAAGTTTTTCGTTCTCCTTCTTTCTAATTTTTGCATCCGCATTGTGACAATGTTTTCTTTAAGTATATCAGTTGCCCTACTTGAATCTATGGTTTTTTCATTTCAATCTTCACATTTATTATAATTCATGAAAGTCTTATAAAAATAAAGAAAACTGTACTTAAAAAAAAACAGTTTCTAATATAATTACCCGAATTTTGTTTTATCAAAGTATCTAAAATTCGGTATGGTTATTAGGGATAGCTCGGTAGAAATACCGAGAATCAGAAAAATTCTCGAATGCCTTGTAGCCCACATAAATTTATATGGCTAGTATACGAGACAAACATTTAGCTTATCTCTCCCTAGACCTCATAATTTATTCCTCTTTGCTACGAAGAGGAATTTAAGTATGTTATATTTATTTATCAGGCCTTTATTTCTAAGCTTCATATAGGACTAGTGTTATACTGTCAAATATTACCTGTGGTTAAAATGAAGGATTGTGTGTTGTTTCTTCTCTTCATTTGAATTTTTTTTTAATTTTATTGCAATGACATGCTAAATATTTAATGTTTCATATTCTAATTTTATTTTTAATATGAAGTGAATATTGTTAATAACTTAATTAAAAATGTTTAACAAATAACATCTAATGCTAATCTGATCTCATGACAAATTTTGTAACATTTTGAAGGCGTATACAGTTTATATCACTTGTACGTAAAACTAGTGGGAAAGGAGGTTCCTTATTAAGTTTTATGTTGTGTATACTGTTGTATATACATACACATGGTACTCACTATGAATGTGATGTGATGAATGTGTAAAACTCTATTTTTATTAAAACGTTTGCAATTAAAACAGAATAATATTGTTTATGTATGCTTTGCACTTTATTTTTTAATAACATTTTTTATAGTTGTCAACATAAACATGCACTTAATTGATTTGTTGCGTCTGCAACTACATACCCTTTAATTTTTATTAAAGTCAAAATCCTTCCATTAAAATAAATTTACTATATTCTGTTTTTGAGTTGTTTAAGAACTTTTAAAATTAAAAATTAAGAAATTAAATTTGACCGCAATAATTTATTGAAGTTCTTTACCGTATTAAATAGAGTTTATATGTATGAATTTAAATTGTCCATATAGATACTAGGATATAAATATCTATAGATATCATAAATGACTAATATAAAGCATTTTATATAATGTAAAAATAAAGAAGGAGGAAAAAACGTTATGTAAAAAAATAAAACTAATCAATTTTCTTATTATTTCCTTTTTTTTAAATTTATTTTTCATAAATTGTAGAAAATAGTGCCAACGGTGAACAACAACTTGTTGTCAATCTTGATTTAAACGGTTTGCAATATGAAGGTATTCTATTCGCAAAAGTACCATCACCAACTCTATCACTTTCAAACACATTAAGAATTCCATCAACAAAAACTTCAAACTTAATGTTAACTTCAGGGATATCACCAATAAAATCCAACACATTGAGTGTATCGACAACATCAACTGTATTAACTGCAACTACAGGAAATTCGCAAATGTTAATATCACCTAATAATAATAATAATAACAACAATATAACATCAAATATAACAAATACAATGTCACCACCACCATCGACAATTAATATATCAAATCGGTCGATTCAATCAAATTCGGATGAAATTGCAAATGGTGGCGGTAGTTGTAGTGGTACAGAAAATTGTAATAGCGGTGATATAGGTGTTAATATTGATGATACTGTAAGTACAGATGATGATAATTGTAAGGATACAAATTCATTTAATGATTCATCAATAATGGCACAAACAGCAGCAACAACAACAGCAGCAACTTCATCACCAACAACACCAACAAAAACATTAGAAGACAGACTTCATTCAATTGTATCGTCACAAATAAATTGAGATACAATATTATGACATCTTTAGAACTGTAATTTTATATAGTTTATTACAACATAAAAATTAAAAAAAAAATAAAATAAAAAATATTCAAAATAAATAAAAATACAAAAAAAAATATTATAAATAACGGAATGACGGATAGTAGAATATTAAAAGTTAAGAAGCTTTTTAATATCGTAAAAACTTCTTAACACAAATTTACACAACTCTTTTTATCACACTAATAGTATCCTTAATTATTTATATTAAATTTGATTTTTATATACACATATACATATGAGCTTAAAGGTATTTAAGGATTTTAGCAATTTATTTTCTCATTTCACATACACATACAAAGCTTTCATGAAAATAATTTCTTACATGATTAAATTAATTTCTTAGAATTTAAGTAGGTGCAACAATTTTTCACAGAAATAAAAAAAATTACTTAAAAAACCAATGTACTAAATAAAATATTTTAAGAATAAATTAATTTTTTAAATGGATTATGTACAAATTTTCAAATATGACAAACAAATCTCGTTTCTTTTAACTTAATTATTCAAAAAAAAAAAATAATTATTTTAAAAAGTTAATTTTAGTATTAATTAGAATTACAATATTAAATGAAATTGTAAAAAAGGAACTACTAAACAGCCATAATTGATGTATAAGTGGACCTGATAAGATTTTGTTTTTTTTTTTTTTCAAGAAATTTTAGCAAAAAATGCGATGGTTTCATTTTAATTAATTTTGCATTGATTTAAATATTTAATTAAAAAATTAATATCGAATATGAAATTCGAGTGAAAGTTAAAATAGGAAAAGAATTTACTCTGTTTTCAAAGAAAAGCGTGCGTAGATTCAATTGTAAATCAAATATATTTTGGTTGCAAGCGAATTTAGTCTTGTTTTATTATAAAACAAGATTTCAGGAAAGACATCTTTTTTCAGTTATTACTTAACTCAACCTACTGAATTTTTATTCGATAACTAATACCTGTAATTTTACATAATAATGTAAAATTAGTTCACCATAAGTTTGTAGAAAAACTTTCAACTTGAAAAGATTTTCTATTTGCCATATACGCAAAAATCTATCTTGTTTTCGAAATTTTTACGGTATCTTGCAGAAATTTATTAATTTTAAGCTTTTGTTCCAAAATATGTAAAATTAATTTCTTTAAATTGATTAAGCAATATAAAAAGTTTTATTGTTATAAAATTTCTTCATTATCATTGCATAAATTATCGCATTTATTCAAAATTAAAAAACAATCTTACTCTTCCATGAGAAATTAATTTAAATATACATGCAACTACTTTATAAAATGTCATTAAATAAATTTGTAAATTTAAGTATTTTAAATGATTTGTAAAAAAAAAACAAAAAAAAAAACACAAAAATAGTAACAACCACGCTATAAAATGCTTACCGGTTCTAAATCAAATTCGAATTTTCTTTTATATTCAATTCATTATTTAGCTACCATATTTTTATTTTATTTATTTTCTAAGTAATATAAATATAATTTTTATACAAATAATTTATTAATTAAATTTTATTAAAAATTATGGAAAGACATTAATTAAAAATTATTTAGAAATTTACTTTTTATTATAGGTCTGAATTTTAATATTAATTGTAGAAAAAAGCATAATAGATTTTAAAATATTTACGATTTAATATAAAAATAAATATTATTAAAAATAAGACTAAACAAAAAAAAAATAGAGAAAAAATAGGAGTGTGATTGTACTTTCAATGTCTGAAAATTATTCTAAAATAGTTTTAATTTTAAACAAAACGTAAAAACAGACTACGTTTTCCGTTTTGAATTAATTTTGGTTCGTTTTTTAATTCCTATTTATGTAAATGTAAATGTGCTATGTAAATAATTTAAGTAAAAAAAATATAATAATTTCCTAATTACATTTTAACTATTTCCCATTTGTTTCGAATGAAATTTTCAAAATTAATGTAATAAAATTAACATTATTCAATTAACAAGTAAAGTTTTTTGAAAGAAATTCTACAAAAGTATAATCAATGACAGAGAGAAGTTTTTCTTTAAAAAATTAAATCTTTTAACGCAAATCTGGCAACACTTTTTAAGTGTTTTAAAATTTGAATTTCAATTTATAAAGCTATTAAGGCATTAGAGTTTTTGCTTTAAAATATTTGCAAGTTTATAAAAGAAAACCTTCTTTATGTTAAACAGAAATAGTGAAACTCAAAATCATAAATTAGGAAGTTATTATTAATTAAAACTTATTAGGATTGTAAGTTATGCCAACATAAAATAAAAACATAATTAAAAGAATAAATTTTTATAGTCTCAATATTAAAATAATAATATAAATGTAGTTATTGGTCTTAAATAAAATCGCATAAAGCGTGATTAAATGATTGAAATATTGTTAAGAAAATCATTATAAAATTATTATGGTTAAAAAAAAAAATTTAATTGTATTTCGAAAATCCAAGACATATTAATTATAAAAAACAAAATATGTAGTGTGTGTTTAACATTATTTATAAAAAAAATTATAATTAAAAAACTTGTAAGCTAAAGTAATTATGTATAGTTTAAACTCTTCTCATATTAGAGAATGGAATGTAAGCCAATGTAAAAGTTTATAACGAATATATCAAAAAAATTTATGCATAATTATATGCAAAATATTAATTGGAGAATTTTAAGAAAAAAAAAAACAATAAAAAAAAATTATGCTTTTATTTGCTTTGTATTTGCATATGTAATCAACTGTAATTTTAGAAATTATATTATGAAAAAAAGAATAATAATAAAATAATAAAAATTATAATTCAAATGAAAATAAAATTAATTTAAATAAGTCTACAATTTACAAGTACTCACTTTCTGTTAGTCGCGATACTGAAATAACAAAAATACCTGGTGTAACTGTAACTATGTTACAAGCGTGAATTTTTATTAGACAGATGATGTTTAAAAAATTACCAGGAGCTTTGCAGCTTACATGATAGCAGTTATTACTACAGTAGTAGGATTTATTTCATGAAAACGCATACAGATATATTTGATGACCCTCTTAAAATTGTTTAAATTCTCAATTAGAAACGCATGTGTAAACTTGCAAATGCAATTGCCTGATAATCATATCGAAAATGTAGAAATCATTTCGTTGATATAAAAGTTTTAAATATGAGTTCCATAGTATTTCTTTGGTGTATTAGAAAGAAATAGAACTGCATTTCTTAGATATTTAAAAGCTTTTGCTTAAATCCTTAGAAAACGCAAAGTTCTGTGTTGCATAATAATTTTTCTGTATTCCGTTAAAATTGAAAATTTTCTCAAATTTGTAGAAAAAAAATTCTGAAGTGAATTATCATGAGTGTGTTAAATTGTTGATAGGCATAATATGATATGCAATAACTAGAATAAGCAAACCAATAAGATCCAAATCAACAAATATGCAACCAATTTTTTTTTTTATATAGATACAGGAAGTTCTCTAAGTTCATAAAATTCTACAAAGTATTGTAAAAAATATTGATTGTTTAATTAATTTAAGCCTTAAAAAAAAAAACAAAGCGAAAACAATTCGAGCATTTAATTAAATTAATGGAGAATCATCCCCGAGATTGCTAAAGAGATAGGAAAATTCAATTGTTTTTGCAAAACAACAAAAACAATGTACATATGTGTGGTGGTAACCTCATTATTTTCGGTAGATTTCTGATGTCTTTCGATAGCAACATTTTTGATCTGGCGAATGAAATCTTTCGCCGATTATAATTTAAAATGTCATTCGATTCGCCTAGTTCATTCGACTCGCCTAGCCATTCGCTTTGCCGATCATAATAAGGGTATAAGATGTGAAATGGATTATATATGTCCTTAAGAATTTTTCTCTTCATTCATAGTTCCCTTTGCATTTCTATTTCTCTTCTGAAACAAAAGCATGTATTTTTTAAAAACATCTCACAAATTATCATCTTTTCTGGAAATAATTCTCGCGATTCAAATAGAAATTTTTTTTTATAAAATATCTACATATTAAATTTTAAATTATTTAGAAATATTGCATATTTACGGGAGAAGTATTTTCCTTATAAATTTTATTTTTTTTATTAAAAAAAAAAGGAGTTAACATAACTCTTGAATTTAAGGGTTACTTGCGTGAGATAGAAAAAAAAAATTATGTTTCTTAATGGCATAGCATTCACCGTTAGCTTTTGCATTTGTAGAAACCTGAAAAAGCTTGCAGTTTCGGAAATATAAGGTGCTAAAACTTCAAAATTTACAAATTTAGAGAGGGGCAGGAGATGGAAAAATATTTTTCTAACGAAATGATATGAAAATTTTTTTTTTTCTAAAGAAACCATTGAAGTTTTGTTTCGATAAAGTTTTAATGAAGTATCATTAATTAATACCATACATGTTTCATACCAGCCTTTAACAAATAAAAGTAGAGGGTTTTGAAAAAGGATTCCTCCTTGTATGAAAAATGTTTATAGACAAATTCACTCAGCTTTTCTTTTAATCTACTCAGTTTTTGTCATAACGATATTGTCATTTAAAATTGGAGCCCGGGCCTTAGTAATCTCGGAAATCCGCTTTTTCTTTTAGTAATTGAATATGGAAACATAAGGTTTTAAAAAATTTGTTTTAAAAAATTCAATAATTTTATTCAACCAGTTTTTTGGGAATCGAACCTACTGTGTCCCAACTAAGAACTAATAGGTTTTTTTTATAAAGAAATAAGATTTGAAATCAAACTTAAAAATTTAAAGGTCACTATAAATTTAGAAAAATTGAAAGCCAAAAACGCGTATTCCTTGAAAAAATAAAACGAAATAGGAACCAAAATTAATTTTTATTTTCTAAACTCAAACTTTCTTATAATTGTACGTAAATTTCCACTATAGAATTTTAAAAGCATGAAACATAAAATTGCAAAATCAGGACTCTGCTGAGTCATTTAATGTGCTATATAATGAAAAAAAAAAACAATAAAAATTTAATGAACTTATTTTTATTTAGATATTATGTTAGAATATATACATGTGTATATATGTATATATTCATATATATATATCTATAATATTGGTCAATATACAAGCTAAAGTAACGTCGCAGTAAATATGTATAAAATTTCCTAAATTTAGTCTAAATCCCTAATGTTTAGATTGTTGACATATAGTACGAGAGTATCTATGTTATAAATGTTTGTTTGATCTTGTGCGTATAAATGTACACATAATGTCTTATATATGAACGCACGATATAAAAATAATTACATCTGCCAGTGCCATTTCAAAGCGAATTGTGATGAAAAGGAACCTCAAAGGAATCCTTTTTTTTATTTACTATATGAAAATTTTATATATTATGTATGTTGTGTACATTTCACCTTGTATACTTGTACAACACAATATTTATTTACTAATGAAAGCAACAGTTGGTTGAATACTCCAGTCACTATATAGAATTTGTTCTTTTCAATTTTACTATTCGAGGTCTTTAATATTTTGAAAGAAGTTTTTTTTGATGTCCTTATTTTTGTTTCCTTATGCGGCAAGAAATTACTGTAGGCATATAGGATTCAGATATATTCATATAAGATTTTATTTTGTAATATTGTTTTTTATTTACTCTTTATACTTCTGTTTCATGTTATAATTTATTTTTTATCTTTGTTTGTCACATAATTTTGCCAACAGGCTGCAACTGAAGTGAAAAAAAAATTATATGATTGTTTAAGGTTAGAAGAATTAAAGCTGCTTTCTAATTTTCCGGGCTTTCTTTCGTATTTTATTAAACTATTAAAAATGTAATGCCTTTTTCCATTAAAAAATTATTCCAGTGCATAAGATGAAAATATTAAAAAAATTATTTATTACGTGCAAATAAAAATAAACAACTGCAAAAAAATTTAAAATCATATTAATTGGGCTTATTCTGAATACCGACTCATTAACGGATAATGATATTCTCTCGTAAAAACTCATTAAGGGCTAGAGATATTTTGTCGGTTTTAAAACCTTTATAACAGACGCAAATCCGTTTTACATGAATTGGTTTGTGTTAACAATAGTAATATCGAATTTCCTACGATAAATATGTTTATTGCTCAGTGATTCGATACTTAGAATAAGCCCCAATATTTAGAAATAAATATTTACCACAGAGTATGAATTTTTGTTGGAAATTTTAAGATCACAATGAAGTATATAAAATTTCGTCTT